AACATGAATGTATTCACAAAGCACGCTGAGTAATCTAAACCGCTGCTATTTTTAACTTCAAAGACGCACCCCAGGGTACCTGTCCTCAAAAGAATCAGCCGGAAATGCCGCTCACCACCCCCTCCAAAATAAATATAATAATAAAATAAAGCCTACTGAAATCCTACATAAGTGACAAGCAACTCGCAGAATCATTGTGGCTGAATTTACTCCCCCTGCTTTCAGTATTTGGCCTTACTGACCAGCAAAAACAGGGCAACTGCTTTTCCTCTTGGAGTAAGTCAGCTATCGCTCTCATTTTCTGCAATGAATAAAGAATTACGAGCGATCCCAGCATCCTCTAACATCTCCACAGGATAAGATTCCTGCATGTTTATTTTCCTGTCTGAGCCTAAAAAAGCCCAGAACATGGAGCTATGCAATGAGCCACAGCACATAGCCAATACTCCAAGGAGCAGAGAGCCTTCCTGTTCTGAGCTACAGGAAGTTCAAGGAAATCAATGGGAGGTGGAAGGCGCGTAAGTAAAGCAGGTGTGCTCCAATTTGGCAAGAAAAAAAATAACTTTTAAAAATAAATCCTGAAGGGAAAGATGATCTGAAGCAAATCAGCACTATCATAGCCACTGAAGCATATCAGACATAACTGGTGAATAAATCAAGCCATCTAAAAAGCACTGATTTTAATTAGTAACTTTTGCAATTACATGCTTACTGCTAAAAGTGGTTGTGTTTTTACACAGTCAGACCAAGGCCAAACAGCAGATTTACCCGGAGCTCTTCGTAGCCTCTACCCCAGTTATGGCTTCGTGGGGAGCCAAAATGCATCCTGCAGAGCCTCCTACTAAGTCAAAGGAGGAAAGGCAGCAATAGTCTACAGACACTGTCTGATCTGAGCCAGCTGTTTCTCACAGTACTTCCTGTTGTTCCTTCTTCTGGGAGTCTCCATTTAACAAAAAAAGGTATACTTAGCACAGTCAAATACAGGCAGTTTCTGGAGGTCAGACTAGGCCAGCATCACAGCCCCCTGTATTGCACACAAATCCCTGATATGCCCAGTTTTGGTAATTCTCCAAGTTAGTCTGGAGGTAAAAGAGGCTGTGGATGCTTGCTACAGAAGCATGTATTTTAATAAAGAGGGAGCCAAACACTTGTGATATTTCTGATATCACCTCTAGTAATTCCAACAACATTCTTCTGATTAAAGAAAACTTACACTGCAGAACAAAGTGGAAATCAACCCTCTGACCTATGATACATGATACATTCTCAGCTCATGAGCTACAAAAAGAATAGCATTTCCATGCTGATCATGCACCACTGGCAGTGAGAAGGCCCCCTTTCTGAGCTCCATCACCATGCAAACCCCATGAGGCTTTGCTCATGCTTCAACAAACAGAACAGGCTTAAGAGCCACATGTGACTGCTATAAGTTGCCAAACACCATGCTGCCAGGGAAGCCCTCCTGGGGTACCAAGAAGGCCACGCTACCAGGATTCATTAATTTAGGGCAGAGTAGCAGAATAAAGCATCTCCTCCTGTACAACATCTGGTTCCTTACAACATGTACATTTGGCCACATCACATTTCATTTTTGCTGGTTTCTCAATGCTTCACATACATAAATATACAAATTGTAATGCAATGGAAAGCACAGCAACAACAGCAGAGTAACAGGGTCCTAGGCTGCAGCAAGTGTGAGGGTTGCTCAAATTCAACAGCCAAGGAGTACAGAAATAAAGAAAATAAGGTGCTTACCTTCAGAAGGCATCAGATACACAGGGATCTCCAACAAGATAGCCTTGCTTCCATTGCCAAACCTTAAATGAGGTCTGGGAAGGGGTGGATTCTAGCACCACCCCTTCTGGTCACTCAGGTACATTGCATGCACCTGAGCTCCAGGTTCCCACCTTCCCATCAGGTGCCCAATCACTGTTTCAAGCCATGACTTAGCATTTCCACTACACAAATACACCCGTGTGTGTATATAGTTTTTTCTTGCCTTCCATAATCACAGGCAAAATGAAACGCATGAAACCCAAAATGAAAGCATGAAAGAATTTCAGACACTGCCAAAACCCATACCAAATAAGCACCTAGCTAGGAAAGCTCTGCAGAGACAGTCCTGAAGCACTTCTCTCCCCTAAAGCCTGTTATTCCGAAGATTACCCGGTGCATGTTATTTTGCAGCAGTATTTTGCTGCTTTTTGCAGTCCCTGATCACACAGGGACTAAAGCAGCTGAGGTGCTCTATTTGGAATTACAGCTATGAAACAGAAGTAGTTCTAAGCCTAATTTGTCTCCAGATTGGCCAATCAGTTTCCTTCCCCCATTGCTCCCTTCATTTCCCAAGGTAGAGTGCATTTTTCCATTGTGTTCAGCAAAAAATGAGGCGAGCAGCAGGCTAAATGAGTACAGCTTGATCTTTCTGGAGTGTGGAAAGAAAGACTTACAGCTTCAATACACAAAATCCACCATAGTATGCATCTGAAACAAATCTAGAATATGACACTTACCATAAAGGATGTGCCAGAAGCATGTTCTTTTCGTATGACTGAACCTCTTACCCCACCATAATCTTTTGTTGTCTTTTTCTTTTTTTTTTCCCTCCAAGAATAAACACAGAAGTTCTCAAAACTTCTCCCCTTCAACCCTTGTGATGCACTTACAACTTCTCCCGGGCACTCCTACAAAGCTACGAAGTCTAAATTGCTTACTTTCTTTGCATGAGGAATTCTGCTGTCAGTAATTTTCTACTTCTAGCAGATGTGGTTCTAAGAAAAACACTAATTTCCTTAAGATTCATAATAAAGATCAAGTGGAGGAATTATCAAAACAAAATTGAAAGTTGCTTCAAAAGGCGACATATCTATAGTTGGAACTACATCATCACTGCAATTGTTACCAAACAGTTTAAGTTACTAGACTTAAATATACACAACACATAGAGTTACATACTATCAGATTTCTGCTCCTTCCCTTGTTTGGAAGCTTTGCAGATATTTCAAATATTTTTGATGTTCTGAGAAAAATTAGGGTGAGAATACCTCAAACAAACAAATAAACTTGCCTGCATTATTTCTAAACTACCTACCTCTTTGCAAATTCAAATAGTGAAGACTTAAAATATTTACACACGGTAGACCTTACATATATATATTTATTTCTAAATCAAGCCTATAAGAGTATGACTGCAGAACAGCTGACTGAGAGCAGATAAAGGGGTTAAAGAATTAGGTCTGGAAAGCCTTTTTTTTCCCCGCTATTTATAAAACATTGCAAATATATTAGGCCAAAGGAGACAACTGGGCTAAGCTCATGGATTTTTATGGTCCCATGAAAACAAAGAAGATTAACAAGAGATTTCTGGAAATTCAAAAACCGACTGTCTGATTCATTTATTATTTGAATTAGTTAAATCAAGAAAAAAAGTCTCCCAATTGAGTCAGTAACCATTAACTTGGCATTCATGAGTGCACTACGGGTGCTGGTCAAAACCTCGGCTTTTAAATATAAAAAAAATTCTCTAAATATTAAAAAAGCAACTGAGCCTTACACATCGAATATTTAGCTTTTCATTTACTCATCTACATATACAGATCTGGATATATCCTGAATGCTTCAGGCTTAGTTATTTCTCTGCTGACATTTCTGGAAGGACATGAGATTATGCAGCCACTGCTTATAGCCTAGGAAGAATACTGACAGATGTGCAAAAGGGAAAAAGTGGACATTAAGAAGTAAACAACAGAATCTTTGTAGTTTGACATAGCACCAACATAAGACTCTGCCTGCACACCTGGAACTAGTTATTCTGATGCCCACATATGCAAGGGGAACAAGTTCAATTCTCATCTTTAAAATCAAGAGAAAAAAAATATATTGCAATCGACCTGGACAACAACATGATGTTGAACTGGCTTCAGGATGAACTACGCTCCCCTCGTGCTTTTACATTTCTGCCATAACCAGGGTCTGCAAGCACCCAACTTGCCTTAGTGAGGCTGCCACTACTACCACCTTTTGTCTGCACAAAATACGGGAAGCCAGACTGTAATTCAGTCTATAATATTTATGCACAGGGTTGGCTATACTGTACAAACATTGCCACCGTGTTTTATGGGTGTCGAACTGGAGTGCAAGACAATTCTGCAGCCCATTTCACCTGGTACCTAAAACTCTGGTATACCACATTCCTGAAATCTGCTTTATCGGAGAGCACAGCTACACAGCATTTCTATCTCAGGATACACCAGACATTGCTTCTGTATGACAGGAATTGACAGGAATACTCAACAGCGTGCAAGACTATCAAAGTTCTCTATTACAGTACAGCATCAAGGGTGCTCCAGCCAGAACAATTCCTGTGAATTTTGGTCATACAATTCTGTCAGGCCAAGTGAACACATTGATGAGTATTAAAGTACCTGGACTCTGTAAATATCTCTGGTATCAAATTAGGAAGCCAGGTTCCTTCAGCCCTCAGAACAGTTAATGGAAGGAACGTAGACCCTGCAAGATGCTTAAAACTCACCTCCTGTTCCAGAGTTATCAGCTGCCAAAATTTTATCTGGAGCCTGTGCAGCCCTCTTCATTTAAAGCTAACAGTAATGTTCCAAACCCTGTGTTTCAAAAGAAAATTTGTGGAAAACTGTTGTACATTTACCCCACATGCTCAAGTAAAGAACCAGAATTCATGGCTTAAGTTTATATAATCTCATGGGTCTGTTGGTGAGGAGACAAGCGAGGGGATAAACTCACTTTTTTCTTTCTTTCTTTTTTTTTTTTAATTAAAATATCTGTGGCTGGATCTACTGCATAAATAAATCAATCCCCCAGTTACACAGCTCCATTTTTCCAGTCCCAGCACGTTGTTTTATATATTTTTCCTTCCATTGCAGACAAATGACTCCAGGGAGTTTTTAAACCCAGTAGTCTATTTTCCGAATGGAAACAATTAGTGTAATTTGTGAGTGAAAAAGCAAACAATAACAGAGACTTACCCCATTTTTTGGGTAGGCTATCCATCCTAGATCCCCCATTACTGTGCGCGAGTCCAGTAAATTCACTGAAAGAAAGAAAAAAAACTGGTAAGGTGAATGTCTTATAAATTTCAGTAAATATTTCATGATTTGGGTGGCTATGGTAAATAGGCTGTTTATAATTAACAAAGGAAGCTGGGTTTTTGTAAGACAAAACAACAATGCAGTAACTCCTCTAACAATGAGATCATACCCTTTGAGATCTGCAACTGGAAGTTGCACACGTTCCAAATTTCTGCGAGATCCAGACTCTTGCATTAAGTTCTTTAAGACTGGTCTTTTTGGGAGGCAGGTAACTACATAAACTCTGTATAAGACATGCAGAAGACACACACGTATTCCTTCTATGGTGGTACAGTCTTCAGCATAATCAAGCCTTTTAGACAAACACAAAACAAGAAACAACATGCAGAGTACCCTAGTTATCATGGATTCAAGTTTTGAAGTATTTTATATGTAAGTATGGCAGTATTACAGTTACCAGGAATCTATTTTTTTTTCTCCCTTGCATGTTGTTCCAAGACTCTACAACTTCACTTAACACACCCAAGGGATTGTCTTCCCCCCTTCACCCAAAAATACAGTGGTTCTGTTAAGTCAGAAGCAATAGACAAACGATTAACATTAAAGAGCAATAAAAATTATCCTCAATCTCATAATATTTCCCCTCATATTTCCTGAAATATTGAGTACAGAAGCATGAAATAATTTAAAAAAATACATCTACGCAGAGTTAAATCAGCTGAGGAAAAATACAGTAGCTTCTAGTGCTGAGCTTTCCAGTGTCATCTCCTGTTCTCAGGACTTCCAGTCTCCCAAATTAAGAACTTCCCTCTGAATCAATAGCTGTTACAGAGAAACTCAGTCTAAGAGGAGTCTACTTTGCAAAGCACAAAAATCCTTCAAACTGTAATTCTTGCTTTCCACAGTATATTTATCTGCATAGCACAGCCTCATTTTCGTGCCCATGTTCAGCCTAATAAGGAACCAATTTCCTCAAGTCTTCAATTCATGGTCTCCAATGTATGCATTGTTTAGAAATCCCACAGGAAGTCAAACTTCAAGACTTTCAAACTGAAGATGAGCTATCCCAAGAACAAGCTGGAAACAAGAGAAGGAGGATACATGCTCAGTCCTTTGGAAACAAGCCCACTTAGTTAGGTACTTAACAATTGGTAGAGAAAAAGAAATAGCATATACATACAAGCAGAAAAAATGGGAATATCAATTCTCAAATCTGGTATTCATCTGAGGTACATTTTCCATCTCTGCACAGACCAATACCAGTGTAAACCCAAGGCATACAGACCTCTACATCAGCACTGGTCACCCTACTGCAATGCACCATCAACAAAATCAGAACATTGCCAACTGATTACCTCAGACATCATAAACACAGTATTTAGAGAGTACCTGCTCACTGTGACAAGAAATAGACTCATCAAGTTCCTGTAATTGGCATTCCACTTCAGAGTGTCTATTTTTCCCTAAAGAGTTAATGACCTAAACGTATAGAAGCACAAGAACTTAATAGCAAACCATGTTATGTACACAGAGGCACAAATAACAAAACTAGACATACATTATACTAAAATAGAAGTGATATTGTGATAAATTTTTCTCGTAATCATTGTAATACACTGAAAGCTGATGACTGCAGCTCATTGTACACAAAGACAGGCAAAACACAACAGGTAGGGAAATTTGTCCTCAGCCCTGGCGCCAGGCGGTTAAAGAAGATACGTGGATATCTGCAGTGTATGCAATCATTAATCCAGCATGCTATCACAGAACACAGAGATTTTCTGCCTCATCTGGGTATTGTTTCTAGAACAGAAACCATGCTTGGGTGCTCAGAATGCTATGACATTCACCAGAAACAAAATTGAGCGATTTTACTGAAATACGTTCATCATAAGGAAGCAAAATTAGTTGGCTTTCCACGCCACAGCTTAAGTAAAATGAATGTATTGTTTTCATCCACCCTTACAGATGCCACCCAGTAACGGCCAGCTTTTGCCCTCCTGACATGTCTGCAGGTTATCTTCTATCCCTGCTTCGGCTGAAGTCAAAGATTCAGTACCCAAGTGCTCCTAATCCTACTGCATTTTCTCACTGAGATCACAAAGGTGATCTTAAAATATTCCTCAAAATAGGACACATAACAAACATGTCCTATATTATAGCTGCAAACCATTTCAAAAAGGAGGAGAAACCTGCCAACAAAACGGCAGGTTACCCAAATTCCTCCTATTACAATCACTGTAATTAAACTGTGCATAAGAGTATATTCCTGTCATAAGATGCAATGGATGCAATACAAGTATTGATCTACACTGTACAACTTAATTAAAACTTATCCCAAAGATGCTACTAATGAATGTAATTAGATGGCATGTTTGATGCCACAAAGTTCTTCATGACATGCTAATTAAGCAAAAAGCAAGAAAAGTGCTTTTATTCAGACATCAGATCATAAAAAGAACATGATAAAAATAAATATTGTATTATCCAACAATGACAATTTTTAAATTGCTGTTATTAACTTCAATTTCAAAATAATTTTCTGCATATGAAAAGATAATATAATCCATTCAACTCTAACTCAAGTCAGTGGGAATTTTTCTATCGGTGAATCAGCCAACAGAGCTGAATACTAAATCTCCAGTTAGAAAAAAGACATTTCCTCTCTTTTTTCAATAGGATTCTAAACAGAGCAAAATAAATAGGAAGGGATGAGATGCACCTTTTGACAGGCACAGTGCAGTAACCCGAAATTCATGCCAAGAGAACAAAAGCCACCAGTGACGTTAAGTTGTAGGCTGCTCTGGATGGAGACTTGAAAAGCTCCCTGCATGAGGGGGCTTCTCGGTCACAGCGTGCCCCACGGGCTTCTGCACAGAACTGCCTTCACAGTATATCTTCTAAAATACTGCACTGTATCGATTTGCTGAGGAATGTATTCAGCTAGTAGTTGCGCTAAATTGCCTGCAAAGACGGAAATGTTTTGCTTTCAGAATTCCAGAAATTCCTACATAAACAGAAATTACACCGTTCCAACTAGACACAAGGCTTCTGCATTTTCCCCGTCAGCCCCCACCCAGCCGTTTCCAGGAAACGCATCATGTACTTGCACCACTGCCAGCATCCAAACGCACCCTGATCCTGCCCTAGAGCAGGCTGGGGCCCTGCAACCACATCCCAGGGAGGATCCCGCAAAGTGTCGACTGCAGGAGCGCCCGCTCAGGGTGACGGTGTCAGCCTCCCCTCCTTCCCAACCCCGGCAGCAATGTTATTTTTGCTGAAATGGCTTTTGTTAAGAAACTGCAGATCGCTGAAACGGCTTTTAAGCAGATCGGCCAGGCTAGGAGAAAAACAGTGGGCAAATGGCAGGTAAAGTACGTAGCTACGGTGTGTAAATTCTCTGCTAAAACAGTTTTTTCCCCGAAGAGTTGATGCCATCCTAATGAGATGCTTTCACCACTCATCATGTGAAGCTTTTCTGCACCTGAATAAAAATAGCCAGAAGTTCCTCCGGTTTGACCCACAACAGGATTAAAAAAAAAAAAAAAAAAAAAGGACTACAGATCTCCTCAGGAGCAGCAGAAGCAGTTCCTCCTCATCAAACCTGTGACAACCAGCAGCAGGTATTTGGCCACTGCTGTCTAATTACCAAATGTTCTGATGACAGGAGGTGGTAATTCAGGAAAATCTGCAACGATGTGCTTAAGGCTCACATCCTTCAGGAGGGTCAGTGCCAGCTCCTGTACAGCCTGGGAGTCCTGGGCATAGCCCAGACCCATGCTCAGCAGCCCTTGGGATGCAGAAGAGCTCATCTCCCTGAAGAAGGCTCTCCAGAAATTGCTAGCAACTTACCCCATCACCTTAAAAACTTCCAAAGGACCAGAACTCATTTATTCCCACTTCCTTTCCCTTCAGCATCAGCTAGATGTGTCTCAACAAGCAAGAAACCTCAGAGCCAATAAGTACACACTTAGCACCTGTATCTTTGCCAGAGAACTTGGAAGAGCCACATACATTGATTCAAAAATGTGTTTTGCTCATCTCCACCAGCCGTGCATCCATCCCACAAGCCCTAATTATTTCTAATGCTCAGTCAAGGGGAACACAAAACCACACAGATCTATATCATCATTAACTTCCATGCCTTCAGGGTAGGATAAATGATGATTAAGTCTAAAGTCACACCACAGCCTTTTTTCCTATTTTTTTAATACAGAATAATGGCTGAGGGAATTTGCATACACTCTTGTTCTCAGATAGACTGCTTACTACGGGTGAGCAATCAAGTTGGAACAAAACCAGAAGTGAACTAAACCTCTGCCCTGAACTCTAGGTGGTGAATTACTGCTGTCCTTTCACTCATGAATCTCTAATGGGAGACTGGATCTGACTTTTCATTCAGATGTCCTCATCATGCTCATCCAATAGGCATTTAGCAGTTTCACCATGACTACACTGGGACCGTGGCTAGAAGGAAGCATAGAAATGCCAAAGCTGATAGCATTCAATGCTGACCTAAGCCAATGCACCTGCCCACACAGCAGAGAATCCCATCTGATGCAGCCACCTAGTACACAGTGCTGTGAGGCAGCATCAGATGGCACAGCTGAAAGCAGGGCAGTGCTATCACAGTAGCACAAGGTCTGAGGCTGAAGCCACCAACTCATGACTTTAGTCACACCACCTAAGTGAGATGCTTTTTCTAGCTCTAGTCTGGTGCAAGATCAGCTGAAGCAGTTTCAATTGCTCTGTTTCAGTTTCAAAAGGGGAAAGAAGGCAACCTGAAAAACAAAAATCCCCCACCTGCAGGATAAAACATCGAGTGCTTCTCAACTTGCCAGCCACATCTCCTCCTGCCATTTTACTATCCAAGGATCTACCAGAAGAACATTCAATGGCTCACACAAGACTATGAAAGACTTGACTCTTCTGGCCTGCACGTCTTTGAGCCTACTGCCTGTTATTCCTTAGGCACCTCAAACTCATACCACTTGAAGGCAAA